AAGGACAAAGACTAAGCTATTTTTCCCCCTTTCTACAATTTACATGTCCTTTTGTTTTTCATTTATATGTAAATATATGAGTCTTTGACCAAAACAAAATTACCATCTCTGGGTCACTCCTCAGCCCTCTCGTCATTAAAATGTAGCTACAGATTTCTGTGACCAAAAAGAGAAAAGAAACAGTTACTAAATCATTCTAGATTTACCAGTCCTAGATAGAGTAGCAAAGAGTAATTATGGGAGTGGCCCAGAGGGCAACCGGGGGAGGCGATCACAGGAGTTTGGCATAGACCTCCACCTACTCTTGGCCTTTGTTCTTAGAGGAGAGCAGAGGCGCTGTGTAAGAAAAACAATTTAGGGATGTCAGGGAGTGAAATGGGACAATCCTGGGCTTTCAGAATCACAGTCCACACTGGGTCTTCTGTTTTGTATCCTTGAGCAAGTCACTTAACCTCTCTGAGCTTCAGTTCCTTCTCTGTAAATGGAAGACTATCAACTCCAGAGGGCTGCCACAAGCAGTAAAGAAAGTAATGTGCTAAGGCACAGGAAGTATTAAACAAATTATAATGAAAAGAGGAACAGGACAAGCCATGTGTTAAAAATACGGGAGCAGGGGACATACTATAAGAAAGTAGTCACACATTCTCCTTTTAATTATTTCAGTGGACATATATGTTGCAAGCTGAGGCAGGAGCAGAGGTGCAGACAAGGAAAATATTGAGGAATTGTCTTTCCCTCACAGAACTGATGGTTTGGTTGGGAGACGAGACTCACAGATTGGAGGACCTGAGCAAACCAAATGCCCAGAACTCTGGTTGTTGGTGCCTTTGTGAAAACAGAAAGCCAAAAAGATCCTCCTCTTCTAATCCTGAGAGTCTAGGTTTCTAGAAAAGTCAAGTTTTTATGGTAGGATTAGGATATGACCATTGGGGACAAATAGGAAAGCACACAGGATTAGGTAGGGTCATATTAAGATAGGCCTAGAAATTCATCAGCCAGTCGAGCCTTGCTCTGGATGGCACTGGGGAGCCAGTGAAGTTTTTTAGTCAGAGAATATCTCAATGAAGATAATATTAATGACACCTGAGCACAGTAGCAATGAATGATAAAACTAAAGGAAGAAGAGAGGAGTGAGAGAAAACAAGAAGGTAATAAGGGAAGAATGGGTGGTAATGTGCCTTGAATCATTCCTTAACTGCATCCTCTGAGCCAGTCATCGATTCTTGTTGATCTCTCACTTGAAATATCTTATCCCCACACCTTCTATGAATTATTCCATTTACCCATGGAATAAGTTTTCCAGCTGGATTGATTGGAAGACAAGTGCCATTGACAGAGGCAAGGAAGTTGGTGAACCAGCTTGACTGAATAAATCTGGTTCTTGAAGTGTTGGATTTGTGGTAATAGCTGAATGTTCAAGGGGAGAGAAAAGTTGAACTAACTTTTTCAACATGACTGGAAGCAACTTTAATACTTAAACATGAAATTTGAGGGTCTAACCAAAATCAGATACAGGATAAAAAAAGAGAAAAAAAATGAATATACTCTGTCACTCTCTTCTCTTTTGATGTGGAATTATTGTGTGGGAAACTGAGTATATTTGGATAGTTTGTGTTTTCTTCAGCTGGCATTATGGAGAATGATGAATGGAATTGTGATGGAAATGTTATGTAAGTTTGTTAAACCAAAATAAAAGAGTAGAGAATAAAAAGTTCTGGAAAATGTGGGTGAATATTTAGCTTTTTAGAGGGGTGGTTTAAAAAACCGTTATCTCTATCATGTAATTGACTTTTATGATAAGACTTATGGCCAACATAATGATATGAGATGATTCTAAGCAATAGTTTAACAATTTGGAAGGCAAACAGAACCTTAGAGGGAAGACCAGCTTCCCATTCCATCCACAAAAATTAGTAGAAAACTTCCCCAGACCACTGGGCTTGTACCGTTCAGTCTCGAGGGCTAATCTTGCCTAATTTCTTCACAAAAGGAGAGTCCTAATGATGCTTTTTTCTCAGTTAGTGGAGTACCCCTCACCCTCTCACCTTTTGGTTTCTCCCCCGCTTATTATCTCCTCCCTCTTATGCCTTATGGATAGTGACTATAAAGCAGTAGTTATAAAAATCGTTATGAAACTTTTATTTGAAGCAGAGATGATTATGTGGTTTGGGAGGGAAGTGGGGAAAAGGGACTAAATAAAAGAAAGTGACTCTAAGCTGTTAAGAAAGAGAAGACCATTAATAGCAACATCTTGATTTTGTTAAGAGGCAAGCTGAAGCCATCAGAAACGGGCAGGGAACAAGGTGATAATAAGAGAAAATGTGTTTCTCAGACAAAGGAGCAGACAGCAGGGAACAACAGTTCAGGAAAAGAGGCGAACATTAGGGAGAGTGTGCAGAGAGGACGTGCTAATCTCTGAATCAAACTGGAGGAAGCACAGGGCCGTTTGAACTCCTTGGCAACTTCAGCCTGGTCTCAAAGTGGATTGCGAGGAATGAGAATAAAAGAAAAGTTCACTCGGAGTTCCTCTTGTCAGAGCCGGGGAAATTGCTTTGAGGCCAGCACTAGAGGATGCTAATGGTAGAAAACAGAACCCAGTAAAAGCAGGGAAAAAAATGTCAGGTCATTGGGAGCTTGCCTGGCATAAAGGAGATAAAACTACCACTGACGAGACATTCAGCCTAGGCCCTGCCACGTACTGCTGTGCGAATCGCTTCTAACCAGTGCTCGGCTGGCTAAAATCTGCAGATAATGCCTCAACTGTTCTGAGAATTTTCGTTCACTTGACAAACAGTAATTGAACTCTCACTGTGTCAGCAAGAGTTATTGCTATTAGCGCTGGAAGGTGCAACAGGAACCCTCCTGTCCTTTGTACCAGTTAGTTTTGTGAGTCGGAAAGGATCGCTGGAAAGTGAGTACTGGGAAATCATGCTGACCCTGGAAGGGCACAGCCTAGTAGAAATTAGGATAAGAAGTAGAAGAGCCAAAGTGGTAACTTGAAAGAAATATGTGTGTGTTTAGTCTCCTTAAGAGCAAAGACAGAGACTGCTAGCTTTTCTTCTCCAGGCCTACCAGTTCTCAGCCATGAAGTAGGTTGAACAAGATGATGCTTACCTTCCCTTTGGGTATTTTAGAATGGTTCTGGGAGTGTTGTGGGGATCATGCCATGAAGTTGGGAGGACATGGGGATCTCTTAATGTTGCAATCTGTAATCGGCAGCAGAAGCTAGAGACTATTGTGCTTTTTCTGTATATTTTATGAGTCGCTGAGAAATTTTAGAATGCTAAAAATGCCTTCCCAAATTTTCAAAGATTCTAACCCAAAGCCTGCAAACTAGGCACACCTAGGTTTTGTTTAGCTAGCAAAATATTGTCTTAAAACCGAACCAGCACTTAAAAATTGTGAAATTTCACCTGAAAATCCATAGTTTTGGCTTCTCTGAGAGACTGAAGATCTGACAACAATGGATCCACAGCAGCAATTAGCGAGTGGTTAGCAGCTGTCCCATGTAGATGGGGTGCCCGTTCTCTAGTTTGGCCATCTCTACCACTCCCATTAGGGTGGCCATATAACTTTTGAGTAAAAGGGGGTGCTGTTAGTAATTATGCCTGGACCACAGACATAAACCAAGATTGTGTGGCCAGCGAGGACTTATGTTTACTCTAATTCACATTGCTTATACTGGGCTTGCTTTTCTTGCTCACTGTTATTTAGGTTATGTGGTTATAAGTCAGACACTCTCATGAAGAAGGGAGAGAAAAGGTATCAAATGAGCGAGAGACCTGAAAGTTGAAAAAAAAGGAAAGAAATGAAGTTTTAAAATGAATGCCAATTACACCAAACCTTCAGGTAAAGGCAGAGCCTTGCTGGTGGCTGGCTCAGCGAGTAAGTTTGACCTTCCTGGCTTCCTGCCCTACACAGCACTGTCAGTTTTAATAAGCTGTAATCCCGTAGCTAGGAGCGAGACTAATCAAACTGCAGAGAGCAGCCTGTTCCTAATCAGGAAGGCACAGGATAATCATTTAACTCTGTGGTTTCTCGGTGAGCTCCAAGCTGCCTCAACAGAAAAAAACATCCTGGATAAGAGAGTTGCTTACACACTCTAATCTTGACCTTTTGATGGTCTTTATTTGCAGTTTTTATTAAAATAATTTAATTACACAAGTATTTGGTTTAAAATTGCTTTAGAAGAATCTTTTCTCTTTATTCCCAGAAAACAATAAAACCTCTCTCCTCCAGTTATGTAAAAAACCTCAGACTCTTATTGATTACCCAAGTCCACTTGAACTGATCATAGACTCAAAACCTTTCAACACCATTCAGGGTATGAGTACAGTCCGCAAACTGGGGATGAGAGGGATTTGGGGACATGAAATAACAACTCACATTGAGCACCGACAGACTTACAGATAAAAAATAGCATGGTGCTGTGGGCTCACATGCCAGTTAGTGCCAGCTATTCCCCATTGGAGTGGGAGCCAGGACCCAGCTACAGCAAAGTTCCAGAAGCACCCTATACCTCAAGGCCAGAAGGCCTGCCTATTCAGTCTTCTCTTCTCTTAGCCCCTTCTTTCCAGGAGCATATCACAAGAAGCTATTTAGTGCAATAATTAACTGTTGAGTTTTACCAGATGGAGCTCAAGTCTAACCTGGGAGTTAACTTGTGGTAGGTAAGCCCTTAGGCAAACTGCTCAACCTTCTAGAAATTCCTGGTAGGCCCTTAGGGTACTCAACCTTCCTGGAACTCAGTTCTTAATAGGAATAATAATATCAACGCCTCACAGCCTTGCTCTAAGAGTCAATGCGATATGTATGGAAAGCATTTACTAAGGTACCTGGCACATTTAAAATACTCCATAGATTGTGGTTATTATTTTCATTATGTGCTAAGCATGGCCTATTTAAAGAGACAAGTGCATCTCTGAATCTCCTTGGATTCTGCATTTAATAATGTAAGTGTACTTAAAACAATGACTACAGATGAAATAAATGGCACCACGGAAATTTAATATTTTGTTTAATGGATTCATTGCTACTTACAGGAAACAAGACAGTATGTTTACTGGCTTTTGACTTCAATAGATTTACATTAAAGAAACATTTTTTCAGATGTGCTAATCAGAAAAAGACTCAGAAAAATAGATGATTTGGGCAGAATTTTCAGTTTTGAACATAAATAAAACTCATACATTTTATAAAAATTCTGGGATATTTATTAATACTCCTCCAACAATGGATTTGGCACTGAACAGGAAAATAAACATATGAACAAGTCATATCCAATGTATTTCAAATTAATCAGATCCTTGAGAACAGAGATTCTGTCTTTCATTAAGTGCCTCTGCCATTCATGGAGGAGAGAGGTTACAGAAATGTCCATGAATTCCAAAATTGAATTCATGGACATTCCTATACCACTAATAAAAGAAAACCATTTAGATGGGCATCCAATACATTAATATACAGTAAGCGCATAATTTAAAACGATGTTCAGTAATTGCCCACTAAAATGGACAAACAGCAAAATATAGGACAAGAATATAAAACAAATATATTTCATACTCTTATAAACAAAACAAAGACATCTTTTTGGTTCTGTTGTTGTTTTTACAAAAATTATGTGTGTACATGTTTTTATGTATATTCTTATACAAAACTTAACATAGAAAAGCACACACACAAAAATCACCTGTCACATCATCAACATGAAATGTCACTCCTTTGGTGAGAGCAGAAAACAACTCAGAATCAGAGACGATCTAAGGTATTCCCAGCCTCAGGATCTGGTAATGCCCATTCACCACTTCAAAAACCACAGGCCAAACCTCTTTTTAGACTCTGAAATATCTCTCCTGCTGCTTGACTCCTGGCATTGCTCCATTTTTCATCACGCCAGTAGTCATCAATAAATAAGAACAACTATGACTTTAATTTAAAGTTTTCTGTTCCCCAAATATTTAGAGTTAGATGAAATCTTAGAATTTCATTTAGTCCTGTTCACTATGCCTGTCCCCACTGGGTCAGGAGGAAACAGGCACGGAGAGGTGAGTGGCACTGAACCCAGTCCTCTGACTGCCAGTGCAGGGCTCTGTCCAAATAAACACATGGTGAAGGAATCTCCCCAAGTGATGGGGCTATAGTTATCATGTGGTCAGACTATTAATGAACCTAAAGGGCAGACCATAGGGGACCTGTATAATCAGATGTAGTTGGGTAAACTTCCAGTTAGCTCTAGGGAAACAAGTCACAAATAGACAATGTAAACAAATGAAGGAGTGTGCCCTGGGCCATTTGGTCACAAGAGCAATGTGCGAGTGCCATGTTCCACGGAGATGCAAGCCTGGTTAAGTGGCAAGAGCCATTTCAGATCAAGATTACACTGCTGGGGCAGCTTGGAAGGCAAAAGTGTCCAAAAGAGACCCCTGACAATATGAGGATTAAAATAAAACTCTTGAATCAGCCAGACTCCTTCTCCAGTCAATAGGCATGTGTCCACAAGGTCATGTTACTCATGATTAATCATCTCCCTTCAAGTTCCAATCCAACTCGGTGAATCACCGGAATCTCATCACCGCCATTCCAAGGCTGTTTCTTTCCATCTACATGTTTGTTCTTTGACTAAACAAATCTCTACTGACTAAAAGAGTTAACATAGAAATATTAAAGGTCATGGTTCAACTATTTCTGACCAATCCAAGCATTTAAGTCTTTAGGAAAAAATCTCTTCAGCCTTACGCGGGCAGAGTTTGGTACAGATATTCCTTATTTGAGCAGACCTTATTCTCAAGTATAAATGATGAAAGCCTAGTTCATTTCTTGTTCTCTTCTTTCCACAATACAACAGTGGTACTGGCTCAATGTGAAGAGTTAGACTTGAGTATGCCAGGTCTCAAGATGCTTGCCTGCAGATGAGTTCTTTCAGCTTTGCCAGTCTGTCACTTTTCAGTGCTTCCCGGATAGAGTGGAAAAATCCAAAGTAATGTTCAAAGTTGTGTATCATAAGCAGGACCCCAGCCAAGAGTTCATTGGTCACCAGCAAATGGTGGATGTACGCACGAGTGTGATTCTTACAGCAGTAACAGGAACACCCTCTCACTAGTGGGTCAAAGTCCTCCTGGTACCTGAGAAAGAAAGTTATGCTGACATTCCAGAAAGTGAATACAAGAACTCCACAACCCAGGCTATCTATTCTGCTGGTGCACAAACAATAGTTAGTAATATCACTGGCAAATGTACTGCTGGGCACCTGCTTAATAAGATGGCAATGTGGTCGAAGTTAACAGGACACAATAAGCCAGGAAAGTCCTTTTGCTGGATACAACCTCCTAACCTAAGGCTTACAAAAGGGCAGCAAAGAGAGTCACGTAGTCACTCCCTCAGACTGAGCACTATCAGTCACACTATAAAGGCAGAATGTTAGGAAATGCTGCTCTGATGAATGCGCTTTTCTCCCACTTGCCACAAATACTAATATCGGAAGACATGGTCTGACCTTTTATTTGCATAGCTTTTTGCAGTTTACAAAGCACTTTTACATACACTGTCTCATTTCATCTCTTCAATCACCCTTGGGGACAGATGTTTTTATTGTTATTTTACAAATGAAGACCATTAAGGGGGTTAAGAGAAAGGGCTCCGGAACTACAATACTGGGTTTGATTCCTGGCTCAGAACTCACTTGAGCAAGTCACTTAACCTCTCTGTCTTTGTTTTCTCATCTGTAATGAGGGCAGTAACAGTGCCTACCTTATAAAGTTGTTGCAAGGATTAAATGAGTAATATAGTAAAAGGCTTGGACACTGCTGGGCACATACTAAGCACTATATATGTATTATCTTTTATCAGCTATTAAAAAGAAGTCAAATGACTTAACCAAGGTCACGCAGTCATGACTAGTGCTAGGATCCAACTCCAAGTCCCCCAAACTTCGAGTCTAGTGCTACTAATAAGAAAATTATAATTTCCAGCTAAATCTATACTGTTTAGAGAATTTTTAGTAGTAACCATTTATATTACCCTAGCATTTTAAAAACAGAAATGAATCTCCTTGGCTATTTTTCAAGAAGTTAAATGTGGATGTGGTAAACATTATTATTTCAGATCTACAATCAAGAAGCCCCTACAGAATAGATAAGAACTAAGATTTTCATATTCTTTCATTAATTTTCAAGTCTTTACTACTACTAGCTAGACATGAATAGGTCTGAATCCCTAGAATATCCATTCACATAAGACCAAAAACAACTTAGCATTAAAATGAGTTTATCAAACTCAGATAAATCACTCACTGGTTTATTGATTATTACTTTTGGCCAAATACGTACAAAGTTATAAGACATCTTATTTCATTCTTTATAGAGGCAAATACTTTATTTAAAGTTTATAATTTGTATGTAATCAAGATGACTTAAGTATCTTAAAATTTAAAAATTTTGTTGTGTTTTATCTTGAAATCCTTATTTTGCTCTATCATTAGTTAAACTCATTGGAAGGAGTTAAAAACACCAAACAATGGATCTGAGCTAATCTTTCTGACAGCTCTTCTAAAATAATAGTTATCTAGCCTCAGTTTTCTGACTAGACAAAGTACACAAATTCATCTGTGGAAAAAAAGATTTTTTTCTGGAATTGAATTCAAGAAGGCCTAAATGATATCCGACTATAAATATTTTATAAAGTCATAAACTGAAAAAGGAACAGTTACATAAACTTTTAAAACAGACAAATTAAAAAGTAAGAAATCAAAATCTAAACTTGAAAAAATTCCTTACTTTTTTTCCTTCAAATTAATTTCAAATGATGTCTTTTCTTGGTTGCAACCAGTTGTTTTAATTTTCTTTGCTTGATCCGCATATTTTATTTCTTCCTGTGTCCCATTTTGTTGTAATACTGAAGGACAAACCAACAAAAAGTCTTGAATAAAGATCAGATAAAGAGTGGCTGTTTGGAAGAATTTTATTTTAGTTACTATTTCATGTACTTGATCCTGTAAGTCTACTCCTGAGAATTTATCCTAAGGAAATGACATAAGGAAAATAATAATGAGTACCAAGATGTCTACTGACCTAAACTATAATATAAATACTTGGAGATTCAACAATGTTTAAGCAAATTATAGTTATAAATATGTAACATAATTTTACGGTCAAGGAATGGTTTTAAAAAAACAGTATATGTGTGTGAAAGAGAATATAAATGTGTGTGTTCAAGTTACATCTCATCATAACGTACATGCAAATTAATTGGGCCTTATAATTGCCTATGTTCCAAATAGATTAAAAGTAGAATATGGTGAACTCAAAGAGGCCCACACCAAGAAACATTATAACAAAAATGCCAAAGGTTAAATATAAAGAGCGAATCTTAAAAGCAGCAAGAGAAAAGCAATTAGTTACCTACAAGGGAGCACCCATAAGACTGGCAGCTGATTTCTCAAAAGAAACTATGCAGGACAGAAGATCCTGGCAAAAAAATATTAGATGTGATGAAAACTCAGGATCTACAACCAAGAATACTTTATCCAGAAAGCTATCATTTAGAGTTAAAGGACAGATAAAGAGCTTCTCAGACAAAAATAAGCTAAAGGAATTTATCATCACCAAGCCAGTATTACAGGAAATGTAATACTTTAAGAAGAAAAAACATGTATCAAAATCATGAATAAAGAATGGTAATAACTACATTCCTATCAACAAGTACTTCAAATGGAAAAAGATAAGTGTTCCAACCAAAAGACAGAGTGGCTGATAAGAAAACAAGACCCTTACACATGCTGCCTACAAGAGATTCACTTCAGATTAAAAGACATACACAGGCTAAAAGGAAAGGGATGGAAAAAGATATTGCCTTGATGGACCTAGAGAGTATTGCGCTGAATGAAATAAGTCAGATAAAAAATATTACATGATTTCACGTACATGTGGAATCTAAAGAACAAAATAAACAATAACAACAAAAACAGAAATAAACTCATAGATACAGAGAATATTTTGAGGGCTACTAGATGGGAGGGGAGTTGGAGGATGGTGAAAAAGTGCAAAGGGATTAAGAAGTACAAATGGATAGTTACAAAACAAACATGGAAATATAAAGTGTAGCATAAGGAAAATAGTTAATAATGTTTTAATAAATATGAAGAGAGTAGAGGGTTTCTAAATTGAGTGGAGTGATCACTTTGTGAATTATATAGATCTCTAATCACTATGCTGTACAAATGAAACTAATATATTATTGTATGCCAACTATAATTGAAAACTTGTTGAATTGTGCAATGTAAATACAAGCAACTAATTGTTTACATTTCAATAAAGCCAGGAAAAAAATCGCACAAAGTATGGGCTAATAAATGGCATTTCTCAATTAAAAACAAACAAACGAAAAAAATGTAGAATATGGTTTTAATTTATGTACTCGTACAGAGACTCTGGCCCTCCAGGGAACTCAGATTATCCAGATTTAAATGGGCTTGAATCGTTCCCTTGAACTGTTTGCTTTAAAAAAGAACATTCCTGGAATTACAGGAGAAACACCAGTTCTATGCAAAGAGCCAGCTACCTTAAAACAGGGGCAAGGAGATAAATATTTCTGGGAACAAGTAATAACATCAGGGTTGGCCCAAGAAGAATAGACTGATGGTCCTAGGAAGGAAATTTTGTCCAGGTCAAAAGAAAAAGAGGTGATCTGAGCACTGAGCACAGGGCTGTTATAATTTTGCTGCCTTGAATTTGCATGCTAATGTGGGGAGTCATAAAGCCCTGGCTTTTAAGAAATCCCAAATTCAACGTCACTAGAGGGAATTGCTGCCTATTTAAACAACTAATTCATTGTATTTTCACTTTGTAATTGCCAAAGGACTTCGATTTACTATACACACATACACAAATATGACTAACAATAATACTTTTAATAAAAATGTTCAAACCATTTGTTTTCCTAATCATAAAAAAACAGCTTTCTCTGGCCAAAAAGGAACTTCTTAGTTCCAAAGAACTCAATATAAGGTTCTTTTCAGAGTTTTGCATATTCATGGTATGGAATGACTAACAGTTACCTATGTCCTGGAAGAAATAAGCTTGTAAATAAAGTCATAAATATTTATAAAGTGTTTATGGTACATCTATCCACACATATTATATTCTGATCATCTAAAAGACAGTAAAATTGACCTTCTATATATAAAAATTTGACCAACCTGATTTAGTTTCCAGAAGTAATTCAATTTAGATTAATGCTTAAGTTACTTTATAAAAGTGTAACATCTTCTGAATGGAATTTTAGTAATTTGTGGGAGAAAAAAATGAACCTTTAAGGAAGTCTCTAGCCCTACTCAAATTTAAGGTTGGCGGTGACAGAGGAAGAATTCAAAAGACAGCAGGAAAGGGAAAGGAAAGCACACCTCTGAAGACTAGGTATGCAATATTCTCCTGAAAAATTGGGTATATGCTGCAAGGGACCGCCAAGCCCAAAGTCTGTATCCAAATTCCTCTTCTACTGCCAGTTAAATGTCAGAATCTGAAACTGATTTTCTTGACTTCTGAATAAATACACAATAAAAGGAAATGGCAGTGCTTCAAAGCAATATTAGCAGAGGAAAACAGCTTTCACATCTCAGTGTGCAGAAAAGACAAAAAAGCAAAAGTAACACTAGGATCAGAGGGGGTGAGACTCCCTGTATTTTAATAGCATGGGGTTTGCAAAAAGCAGGCAAGAACTCTTTTGTGAAAAAACAAATTAACTTTTACCAAGCAGTTCAAAGGTTTTATTTTCTTAGATTTTCATCACTATTCACTCTGAATGTTCTTTTTTAGGTTGTTAATAGAAGAGGTTTTGTTTTTCTTGGTTCTGCTCACTACAAAATTACTTCCTAATATTGAACTACGTGTATAGTATTAAGCATCTTGTTTTGTAGACCAACATGCCAGGGCATTCAGATAAGAAACAAAGATGGAGTTTTATAAAAGGCTGGCTTTATAGTATGCACATATTTCTGGCTTGAATCACAAGCCAAAAATTAATAGGAAATAGAATTAACTTAAGGATAACACTGAGATTAACTTCAAAAGACCTACATGTCTCCTCAGGATTCGGCTGGTAATCAAAACTGAAAGTCAGGGCACATCCCCGCTCTGTCACTTGATAAGGGAAAAAACTCTCAAATAAGTCCACTCCTCTTTCAATACACTCAAGCACCTCATCTGGCCGGCTAACACCACAGATGAGCCTGTGAAAATAAGAACAGTGACTTGAGGACAATGCTGGGAATGAAATCAAATAGTCTTTCCAGAAGTCATTAAAATAATAATAAAAACCACTAACCATTGTTAGCAAGGCATGCAGCAGATAATAAGGTGTGGTGGAAAGAACCTTTGCTTTGGAGGAGAGAGACCTGGGCTAGACTCCCAGCTTTGCTATTTATTTACTTGCTATGTTACTCTGGGAAAGTTTGTTAACTTCTCATTTTCTCATTTTGAAAATAAAAGCAATAACACATATGTCACAAAATTGTTGAGTGGGTTAATGAGATATTTGAAAAAGCACATAATGCAGTTTCTGGCCCCAAAGAGAAACTCAACAAAGGTTAGTTCTCCTTCCCTTCTCATCCCTTCTGAACAACCTCCTTAGTCTTAGACTGAACTTTATAGCCTACCTATCTACCACATAGATGTTTTAAGAGTGCAAAGCTGTATTCTTTATTTATACCTCAAATACTTCCATGTTTTACCTGTATTTTGCCTATAACTCTTTTTTATAAATGGTTCCAGAAAGACAATTTTAGCCACTATATTCATGGATTCACTTATGAAGCAACTCTTGCTCCCAGAATTTCACCTCTGCCTATAGGATCTAAGAACCTAGTTGGTTTTATTTATGCTTCTTTATATTTTCTCCACTAATAAAACCTCTGCATGGCGGAATGAGATGGTGTTTTTTGGGGTAACGAGTAAGGTATTTGGAGAGTATTAATAATACTCGACCAGGTTTTGCCACTAAAACAAGGTGGGGCGATGCACTAGTTCAGGGCTGGCTGGCTGGCGGCTGTTTATGTTTTTCTACCCACAGTTCCTTTTATGAACTGAAAAAGAAACACTTCAGACTCCTTGATTTCTAAAAGAAGCCCAAAGCAAGGCTTATGTAATATTAAACAACCAGAACCCTTAAATATATGCTGGTTTTTCTGACTATGGTCTCCTTCGAGTAATGTTTTAGAACTCCTCTCCAACTGAAGCTGGCATTTCTACACACTTTATAGAAAGAAAAACAATCCCAGCTTTCAAATCCAGTAACAGACATCTGTGAACACTTAACTCAATGAAGTCCAGAAAATGACTAGAAATACTAGTGCTAAACTGTTATTTGCACCAGAATGAAATAAGCATGGGAGGGGGAACATCGAACACAGAAAATGAGGTTAAAATTGGGGCAAATGTTGCCTGGGGTGATAAAAATATTTAGTTCTAGCTGGTGCTTTCACAAGTGTATACATGTATAAAAATTCACCAACCTCTACATAAGATTTATACACTTTACTCTAAGTTATATCTGGATTTTTAAAAAAGTGATAAAGTTACTATACGACAGCCCAAGGAGTATAAAGCAGCACCCTATAATCAAATTGCTTACTGTATCTGCAGGAAAAGACCATGAATATTCACATCACATGGGATAAAAGACTACAGTCTTTTTTGGAAAAAAAAAGAAGAAAAAATTGGATAGTCTAATAGGACATTAGGTTACATTTAGAAACTTGGGATTTTTAGTTTTGAATATTGTAGATCATCTCTTCTTACCATTATATTGTGAATCCTGTGACTTATGGTAAGAAACAACCCCACTAGTGTTGCCAGTCCCCTCAATTTCAAAAAATGACATCACTATTATGTGCCTCAAATCTAAGAACTTCTTAAAGGTCCTTATTAGTAGTGCCAACCTTCCTTCTATTGGTATCCCAAATCTGTCCTCAACTTTCCTTGATTAAGGCCGGAGTTCCACATGACTTTATACCTGTTCCCAGGCACCACGTTATAATGAATAAGGAACAATATTTGTACTTGTCACAAGAATGAAGGGAAACATTATAACACTTGCCCTCACTTAGAATGAGGATCAAATAAACTAAATCACATGACAATCATCTTCTGGTCTACATTCTGAAATCAAGGGCAGGACTGCCTTGATTGAAACTTACCCCCCTGTCGGCCTCAGCAGGCTCAGCCTAGAAAGGGCATAATCAAAACATCAAAAGACATGCCCATGTATAGACAGCATGATACACAACTCCCAGTACTCCTGTTTTACAGCCCACAAGGCTTGGCCTGCATTTTAACTGAACACTGACCTCGGTTTGTCTTCCGGCAGCTCTGCAGTGACTGATGACAGCAAGTGCAGTCTGGTCTCCAGAGTTGTTGGATTCCCATGAAAGCCATCCAGAAGGAAGCCACCTACAGGCCGCTTGGCTGTCTCTCGTGCTGACCTCAGCCTCTCCTCCATCACGTCTCCACCTTCAATCACTCCAATGATCACACTTTTCTTAAGGACCTAAGGTAAGAAAAAACTGAATGCTTTTAACCATTTCTAGCAGTAAAAATCTTTATCTAAATGAGCCTTACACAGAAACCCAGTGGATAGACAAGAACTCAATGGAGCTGCTGCAGTTGAATAATGCAGGGGGACGGTGCTCCCTACTCCCTGAGAATCTTTAGGATTCCAAAGAACACAAATGGAAAGCCACCCAAAAAGCTAATAATAGACTGAGGAGAAACTGAGGCAATCAACATACATAGTCGTGCTTTAGCTTAAATTAAATGCACACTGAGCAGGTAAAAGAAGATAAAAGGAACAGTTTACATTTGTTTAAATAACTATCCCGGCCTGCTTTAGGCTACCACCAAGTCTCTTAGAGACAACTTTATGAACTTTGAAACTATTTGATTGGGACAACTGAATATCCATTTGGAAAAAAATGTAATAAAAACTGCTACTGCACACAATTCTCAAAAGTAAATCTAAACATAAAAATGTAGTTATATAACTATAGAACTGTAGTTAGAAGAATATGCTGAATATTTTTATAAACTTAGGATAAGGAAGGCCTTCCTAAGCAACCTAAGTTTACAGTAAAAGACTGACTGACATATTTGAGTACAAAAATATTCAAACTTCTCTAGTGAAATATACTATCAACAAGGGCAAAGGAGAACTTACTCTTTGGAGAAATAGGTAAATATCTACAACACAGAAAAAGCTCCAACAAATCCTCTAAGGAAATGATAACCCTAAAGAAATCTAAGCAAATATGTGAATATAAACTTCAGAAAAATAAATATGAATGCCTTGTATCATATGGAGAGCTTACTAAATCTTATCGGTAAGGAAATGCAAATTGGAAACATTAGATATCATTTTTGCCCATCACAATGACAAAAAACTAAAAGATAACAACATAGTGGAGGTGAAAGCATTAGAGAAATGCACTTACATACCCTGATAACTAGAGAGTAAAAATTAGTTTAGCCTCATGGGAAGGTAAGTAGACTACACTTATTACAACTGTCAGTGCTTTTAGCTTTCTTTATATCTTAAAATTCCACTTACGA